CTGCTGCGGGGGTCAAAGGGTCCCTCTACAACACCCCTCCGAGGCAGGGAAGAGACTTTCCTACTTGAAGCAGCAAGTAACCATTTAAGATGATAAATGCTGAAAATATTCGGGAGAAAATTATCCTTGAAAGGCAGGTACCAGCCACGGATGGAAAAGCAAGATTAATCTCATTATCATGATGCTGAGGGGCCTTTTCTTCAGATTTTGCAAGCTACACGAAAGGAAACCGATCACCAGCCACAAGCTAACACTTCCCTAACCACACCCCTTGGCCCACTTTCTTGCGAGGATTGCGTGAGCAAGACATCGGCAGGGGCTGCACCAAGGAACTGTGTGGGACACCGTGGCGGTGGGGGACTTGTTGGAACTCCCCAGTAACTGTCAGCTCTCTTCTGCTCTGGTGTGGAGAGTTACTTCAGGCTCATCTGCCCCAATGGATCCTTGTTCATCTTTTCCTGTTCCCAGGGCACCACACTTGGTCTGCAGGTGGAGAGGGAGCCTTTGGAAATCCTGTAGGCAGGTGACTCACCGCTTCTGGGGACTTCTGTGTTTTCGTCTTTGTAGTTAGCATCCAGTTTTCTTCTCCCCTGACACCACATGCAAGTTAATTCTACCCTCTGTTCCCATAATCACTAGGTCTCTCCCTCCTAGGAACACAGGAACTTGGCAGCAGTTGTTAGAGACAGCAACAGCTGTCACTAACATGATGATGCCAACAATGAGGCGTTATTTCCAAGAAACCATAAAAATCAGCATGAGGAAGGCTGCACAGTGGACAGACTTCAGCTATTCAAACCCAGTTCTCAGCTTCAGTAGGAATCTCTCCATAGGAAGTCAGGTAAAGGGAGTAGTGTAAGTTGCATTTTATTAGACAGAGGTGGAATTGATACACGTTATACCTTAATTTTCCATTCTTCTTGTTCAGACATGTTGAGTGTACAGGTTTCCCATTTTTTAGTCAAGAAAGAAAAACATTGCCCAAAGCAGCTGCATTCAACAATACAACAATTTATGTATCATTATTCACTTGAAGACTAGAAATGTGCCCAGAAATTTTTCAATCATTCAATACACTAAAATATAGATAATAAAAAGTTAGTTACTGTTTAATGGTAAAATACATTAAAAAAATTCAGGCGACTAGAATGAAAACTCATGACTTCCTTCAGTATGGCACCGCTCTATCGTTTCATTATAAATTTGTAAAAGGCACCACACATTAAAACTGTAAAGCAAGGGAGAAAACAAAACCAAGCAACTTTCCATTATTTTCTTTCTGTACAAATACATATATATCTTAAGGCAGGTGTTTTTATGTGCAAAATACAAGTATACAGGTAAAACCAACGTTGGTATCATATATTCTCATCATACTCACTTCTTCTTTTAGCAGTAACATTGGTGTCCAAATGTACAGTACATTGAAAACACTTTTCTCTAACAGAGCTCAAAAGAGAAGGCAGGCTGGAAATACGGCCCTGATAACAATTAGGTTTTAAATCTGAAAAGCTTTTATGTAGACCCCTTAAAATATGTACAAACAGTCATTCTCTTTTTCTTGTTGTCTCTTCCTTTAGAAAGGTCCATATCAACTTGTTCACTATGTCAGGTTGATCCTGCTGCAGCCAATGACTGGCTTCAGACAAAATAGTTAATCTGAAATGATTTTTAACATAAATCCGTGTAATTTCTGCCATCTCCACTTCCATAAACGCATCTCTTTCTCCCCATAACAGCAGGGTTGGCATGATGACTTCATGGTGCTGCAGAGGTAGGCAGCTTCAAAAATAAAACACACTTAGTTAGGTCTCAGTCCGCTTAGCTTTTGAAATCAACACAGTGAATCTCATTGCAAGCTTTCTGCGTTCCAAGATATCTTCTGCAATACCAAGAAAACACTCCTGTGACTCAGAGTTCTTTAATGGTTCTTAAGGATGGTGAAATTGTTAGAAGATACTTTTACTGTAACGTGTCTGTAATCAGCAGCTGATTGCAACAGCGGTCTTAATTTTGGAACATGAATGATGCTTCAGCATGGTGCACAGCTCAGGAACCCCACGATCTCTGTAAAAGGGAATGTTGAACAACATGGCCAGGATTTTGTAGGTTGGTGGCTTTCCTTGGGCTGATGAATGCTATGGCAAATTTCTGAACCTGCATTATTTGCTGCAAGGAGCCTTTAATAAAATTTAGAGTACAGTGTTCAAGGCATCTAGCTACCTGAGCGGCCAAGCGGCCTCACTGAAAAATGGCTGTCCAGGAAATGGCAGGCTGCTGGTTTTGGACACCGTGGAATATCAGCAGCTAGAGTGTTTCAGCCCTGCTCAAAATTGAATAGCACGTAGTACAGCTAAAAATACAAATATCTGTAGAAAAAGATATTCTATAGAACACTGATGTCTGAAATGTTGAGCTGAATTCAGTAACATTCACTCATCTGTGAAATCAATGCTAACATTCAACGTGCATCAGAGTTCTCTTTACAGAGAGCTGTAGTGTGGATTTGAGAGCCTTGGACTTACATAACTACATCTGTATGCAGTGAAAGAAAACTGTTCCTTAAAAATTTGCTTTTCATGGAGTCATAATCTCTTTAATAAAAACTGCAACATCACAACCCAGAGCTCTGGAAGACTAGAAAGTGTTTTGAAGATAAATACCTTGTAAGACATACGAAGAATAACTTGAAGAAAGGCCGTTAGAAAGTAAAATGTTCATAAAAAGTATGCCAGCATAATGACCTATTTAAACTTCTGGTAAAATTTTTTTTCTTAATACAATTATTTTAAATGGAATATTGTATAAATATTTTCTCATATTAAAGGTAGACATTAGGAAGCTAGACATGAAAGACTATTGCCTTTAATGTATGCTTGAATCTTAGACATATACTGTAACAGACCAGCTGTGACAATTCAAAACAGGCTCCATCTGATCAGATACAAATCTTTTATTATATTAATGCTCAAACACGATTACTTTAGACCCGTATAAAAAAGATTTTCTGAACAAGCTTTTATGACATTCTTAAGCGCTAGCTTGAAACTTGAGTTAGTTTAAGAGACCATGCTCTGTTATAAAGGGAAAGACAACGAAGCTGATATGCATTAGTTTAAGGTAACACAAAAAAACCTGACACTTTGAAGACATTTCTTCTCCACGTATACATAATGCCAAGAAATATTAATAAAAGGTCACTTTAATTTAATTTTGATTGATGAATTGGGAAAATTCTTAAAATGGCTTTTGTAGCAGTGGATTTAAAATCTCATTTTGCAAACAACCTGACCTCACCCACTGAGCCATAGTTTATTCATAGTATCAGTTTTAAAAATTGATAATCTGATTATCTGGTTCAGTGACTTTAGACTAATCACTTTACCTCTTAATTCCAGTATTTTGTATCTCTTCACTATTTGTATGTGGTTTTTTCACTACTGTAGGGTCTACCATTTTTCTTTTTTGTCTAAGGGCCTTGCAGGATTTCTAGCCTCACCTGGAAAAACTCTCTTGGGCTTTTTATGCACACTTTATAGAATCATAGAATGGCCTAGGCTGGAAGGCACCTTAAAGATCATTTAATCCCATAGATAAACAACATGTCATTCATTGCCTATGAGCTACACTATACTTCTTTTCAGTCTGGAATATGGGACATTGTATCATGCCTGAAGTTTCTAGAAATCTCCTTTAACAAGGATTAACATGCAGATTTTCTATTCAGAAAATATGAAAAAAACAGACACAAATCTTCATACAGCACTTACACAGTTTCTCTGTGAACAAAGTGAAGCACTTCCTAACTTCTAGAAGAGAACTAATCCCATTTTCTAAAAAAAATGACGTATCAGAAGAAATTCAAGCTTCAGCTGCTTACCTCTCTCTCTTGACCAAGCACAATACAAAAGCTTTGTGATTTGTGTTTGTGTCTAAAGTACAGTGGAGGCAACGACTGCTGTGCTATTTATACAAGGATGTATTAATGATGGATAGATGTAGGTGATTTCAGTCATCTCTTTGGGAATAACTTTCCAGAAAAATTAAGCTCTGAAGAATGAAACTCCAAGTGGATACTTATGAGTTGGAAGCCTTTAACACGTAGGTCACCAGTGCCAGCCACTGGGATTTATGTTGAATACAAGTCATAAACATCTATGTGCTGCTTAGTGGCTTTTATGAGAGGAAGTGAAAATTTCGGTCCAGTTTTACTATTTCATCATTCACATCCCCTGAGGTATGACCATCAGAATTGGTGGCAAGAACTGAATGAGCTGAAGACTAACCTTTTCCTTCCAGTCTAACATTTGCTGCACTGTGGTTGACAGCACCTAAAGTAATACTCTCTAAATTTAGTACAGCTATATGTGCTCATTAGAAAAATAAAGCAAAAGAAGCACAAACATACATATGCACACAGAGGAAATAATAGCTTCAAAGATATTTTCTGCTTAATAACTGATACTAGGCTTTTTTTGGGCCTGAAAAGGCCTGAAACAACAGTTTAAACACACATGACTCTTCCATCTCTCTCATCTGAATCCCACAGCAATTCAGTCATCACAGATAATTCACTGCTACTGTCAGAGAAACATCTGGTTAATGTGCATGCTCACTGATGCGAGGTGCTGAGGCAAACGTAATGAACGAGGCTCAGGGCACAGAACGAGGCTCAGGGCACAAACGAGGCTCAGGGCACAAACGAGGCTCAGGGCGCTGACGCCTCTCCAGCTCCTCATTCGCCCTACCCTGGGGGCTCTGCAGCACAGTTCCGGGCCAGGGAGCTGCTGTGCAGCCGCTCAGCGCCCCGTCGCCCTTGGACATCCCAGCTAATGTCATCAACCATGCTCTGCATAGCTTTAAATAAGCACACTGCTACCAACACAGCCACCTCATTTATTCCTCATTGGTGTCTGTGCTTGGTCTTCTCTTGTTTAGAACAAAATACACCATCTCTCTAACTTCTCATTCCAGTTTTGTCTCTTAGCCTGTACAAGACAGCGCATAGCTCAGATCCCTGTTTTCCTCCCAGCACTTCCCCACTGACTGCTCTCCTGACAGTGACAGCATGGAAGGCACAGGAAGAGCATTAAAGTGGCACTAAATTTGGACGAGGGAAATTGAAAAGTTAATCTACTTCAAACATCTACTGTTTGAGCTTAGGGAAGGAAGAGAACTGTAATTTTTAAAGAATATCAGGAAACTAGTCTTGTGTTAGAGAAGCGTTCAGGAGGTTTAGCACTGTTGAAGATTGGAGGGAGTAAAGGAAAAAAGTTCAATCCCACTCTTCATATAGTCCTTCAAGTTGGGGCTGTAAGTCCTAGGTAGACTATATGCAGCATTAATGACCTTCTAGCCTGTTAAGTTTTTGGTAGATAAAAAGGAAGCATAGGTCTCTAAGGCCAAGCCAACTCCTTTCAGAAAGGTTAAAGCCATTAGAAAACTGCTTGAGAAGATAAATATTAAGCTTCTAAAAATAGCTTCTATTATGATACTATCTCTCAGTTTTAGTCTATGCATGCTCCCTGCTGCCAGTGAGTCTGATGAGACCAATGCAGGAACAAACCAAACCAAACAATAAAAAAAGAGATAAGTTTTAGGCTTAGGTACAAATAAAACTACTCCACCTTTAAAAAACAAACCACATCAGACATGGTTTTGTAAAGTTATAAGTGAGGGTAACGTGCTTGGATGCCTTATTATCTAGTATAATCTAATAATAAGCTCTTCATAGATCTTAGTATTAGATAATATGAACTAAAATGCAAATAATTAATTGATGTTAACTTCATAAGTATTATTTAAAGATGGATATTTGTGATTGCCATGTGTTCTGTGAATGAGGAAGGGTCTTTGCTTTATTAGATTTTGAAACAAAGATTTTCCTTATCCGCACTGTGGTTATTTCATGGTTTTGTGTGAATACCTCATACAATTCACTTTGCATCACACTGCTTGGCACTGAATGCATTTCTTACCTGTTGAGACTTTAAACAGATCTGTAGTTTTTCCTTCTTTAGCAGCAGAAGCTGCAACAACATTTTTGGCCTCCAGGTGTCTCTACAATATTTTACCTTGTTTCAGAACGTTACACTGACCTGAAAATATTTCTGTAGTGGTTAATGGGTCCAGTTAATGCTCCGGGTTGTGAAAAGACATAGAGATAAGCTTCTATATCCTCCGTTGTTAATCTGCAACCTTTCCTTCCAATTCCAGTGGCCTGGCTGGTAAATAAATTTTTCAGAACCTACAAAAGCAAACATAAAAAGCCACTACATAAGATAGCCAGAAAACGTGATTTCTCTCCTCCAAAAGGACACATCTTTCTAAAGATACATTGTTTATAGAGTACAATGAATAGTTTAAATGCCTTTTTAGAGTGCTATGTGTAAAGCACATGGTAAACTTATTTCTGGTATAACTTCAGAATAATCAAGGTTACTCAGTTCTGCACCCTGACCTGCCACCTGTGACAGGGAAAGGCTGGCATGTAAAAAAAAAAAGTGCTGGCACATACTTTTCTTTGGGATGGACCTCAGCAGCTGGCAGGGTGGCAGGGAGAATGCTTCAGGACTGAGGACCTGCCCAACGTGCAGGTCCTCTCTGTGGGCACCACTGGGAGCTCTGCACTGGGCTGTATCCATGTGGGAGGATGCATACTGACAGCTGCTTTTTCCCTTTCTGCACACTTTTTAAGGCTATACAAGGTGTTGGCCTCGTTGGTTCCTCGAGGAGAATTAATCATCTGGCTGAATTTGATGCCCGGGCTCCCAAACTGGCTGCCCCGGAGCAGGCTCTGAGGGATAAGAGGATGTCCCGCTGCTCACGGGAGCTTCAGCTAAGTCAGCACGAGTTCCCCAGGCACCAAATGTGACCCAGTGCCATGGGCAAAACCAAAACCAGCTGACTGGCTAGGTGGGGTAATGCGCTGTGCTGCTAGAGGTTAAAAGTAGGTCCCTGAATGCCTCCTAGAAATGCAAAAGCAAGAATTAATCTCAGAGGCTCTAGTACTTAGATTGTACTTTATACATATAAAGCTCAAGAAGAAAAATCAGCAGCTCTGCTTTTTTTTTCCAGTAATTCTAACTACATCAGGAGGGATCAGTGTAGGTGGCAATTCTTCCATCACTCACAGTTAAATATATAAACAAGAGCACTCATTTTGCTCACCTTGAAATCATTTACTGTAAACATGAATTCAGGAAACCATGGCATTTGGAAAAAGAAGTAGTAACCAGATTTAATCAATTGTGATGGATGTCGTAGAATGTATTCTGAAACAAAAATGCCCATGAATTAAAAATGAAAACTGATGACTCAAACAAAATTACCGTTAATACTACTATTTTTTAAACTTAAAGGAATGTTTTAAAAATATTACATTAGAGCATGCTATGTGACAAAAGATGATTATTGTTTCAGGAGTAAGTATATGATGTGGCCATTAAAATATACTTCTTTTATATGTGTTAATAGAAACAGCAAAACAGAAGCCTGCCAAAGCTTAAGTGAGGGCAGAGACACTGGAGAGTTTAATTGGATTATAGGTTTTCACTTAGAGGTCTACGTGTGTATCTAGCCCAAAGCCTTTGTTTCAGCTGTGGAATATGAGGCATAAGTACAAGTCTAAGTATTTCTCTCAACAAAGATGTAAGGCACAGAAATCTAGATGATAATCCACTGATATTCTAAAGACAGTACCTATCCCATTCACAGAAGTACAGAATTTTTCTAACAGTTGTCATTTTGGCAATTTTAAGAACCACAGTCAAGATTACATAGTTCCATTAAGTCTTTTTTTTTTTAAAAAAAAAATAATTTTGTGTCTCCAGTGAGTTGCAAGACCCATCACTGACATTCAAATATCTCACTTCCTTAAAGTGAGTAGCGAATTTATGCAGGTATTAGAAAGTCTAGAACTTATCCTTTACAGATGCAAATTCAGGAAGGCAAAACTGCACTCCCAGCACAGGTGTTCTCTCTGAAATACTGATTCTGGCAGTGAATAAAAATGAGTTGTAAAACAAAGTAAATTGAAGTATCAGCTATCTTCTAAGCTTTCGTATCTTACACATTTTTAAATTGCATCACCCATTATATTTTTCTTTGATGGACCATCATCAACAGTGCTCACTTTTCTGCACAATTTATAAACTGTGTATTTTCCTTTAATCTTTAATCATAGAATCATTAAGGTTGGAAAAGACCTCTAAGATCATCTAGTCCAACCGTCTACCCAACACTACCATGACCACCGAACCATGTCATGAAGTGCCACAGCTACACGTTTTTTGAACACTTCCAGGGATGGTGACTCCACCACTGCCCTGGGCAGCCCGTTCCAATGCCTTACCACTCGTACAGTGTAGAATTTTTTCCTAATATCTAGTCTAAACCTCCCCTGGTGCAACTTGAGGCCACTACCTCTTGTCCTATCAGTAGTAACTTGGGAGAGGAAATCAGCACCCACCTCACTACAACCTCCTTTCAGGTAGTTGTAGAGAGCAATGAGGTCTCCTCTCAGTCTCCTCTGCTCCTATATAATATAATAACACATATTTGTCTTCTATACAGCCTGGCTCCTGCTCCCAGTGAAAATACTGGAGAAAGCTCCTGCCTGCTCAGGTGGTGGTGAACAGACCTCTCCCTCCTCGGGTAAGTGAGGCTTCGGTTCCTAGGAAAATGTTCTGTAAATGTTCTTGTAGTGCCCAAGAACACTCCAAGGGCAACACGTGTGAATAGTTCCGATTCCACGGAGCTGTAAGGTCAGATTTGCATTCATCTCTGTTGTTCCAGTGAATGTTGTACTAGATCATAAATTGTCACTTGTCACCTACGTCAAGATTAAATTCAAATGTCTGATTCACATTTATACAGAGGCTGTTTTATGCAGATTTAACAATGCAGTGAGGCCTTAACTAGGTGTAATGCAATATACACCTCTCTTCAGGGAATTTTATCCTGCCAAAGTAGTATAAACCAGATTCAAGTATATGAAAATTACGTTTGTGGACCCTCAAGGATTAAGAAAAACATCAGTAAGTTTGGCTGCAAGCACTCCCACTTCCTACAAGAAATTATTTCCAAAAGTCAAATACTTGATACCTTACTGCTTTATACAGTCCAGATTGTGAGAGGCACTTTATCTACTGCACATCTAAAAGGGCAAATAGTTGGTTCTTCTTTAGAAACCTCAAAGCAAACACAACCATAATAAAAATGCAGATACTCTGGATTTAAAAAGACTACTATAAAACTCACCTGTGAACACAGACGGATGAGGGAAATTAACCACAATCAGCTTAGTCACCATTTCGGGGTAACATATGGCCACTAACCAAGCGATCATTCCTCCCCAGTCATGGCCAATCAGCACACACTTGTTGTATCCTACCACAGAAACACAGATTTGTGCTTTTATTTCAGTGGAATTTGTATCCGTACGAACTATCGTATACAATGAAATAATTATTGAGCAAAATAGATGGTGCAGCACATTTGTTAACATGACTATTTAGTACTGCACTGCTTCTGTCACTAATGTTCAGAAAAATACGGCACTATTATAGTTAAAAATCAACAAATAATTAAAATTACTTAATTGGACTTTAATTACACTTTACCTATACTACCTTGCTGTCAAACTAAAGTCACTCGGTATTCAGATGGCCACCCTGTTCACATCTTGACCAATGTAGGGTCAGATATACAATTCAGTCATTATAACAAATGTACATTTGTCACATACATTATAAAATGTCATGTACAAATGTACATTTGTCATGTTAAGGGAGTGTGGAGTTTGAAACTGCAGACAGAAAGACTGAGCAATCTCCTGAGCTCCTCCTAAACAAAACAAATCCTTACCGATTTCTCTGAGTATGGGAGGTTATCTAAGCATCATCACTATGCAAAAAATAAGCGTTATACTTAATAATTGTATATATGTAGCACATACATATATACACACAAATACACATTTATATAGTTAGTAGGCTGTAGCTTTTCACCATATGCTGTTTTGATGGGTATTTTGCAAGTTCATTCATGTACTTCTTCCATCAATAAAAATGTTAATTTTAACAGCAATGAAAGGGAGAAGAAAAATCATGACCAAGTTTTTGAAAGCCTAACCATTCCTCCTTTAACCAGTCAATACTGTCGTGTCTGAGTCCTCACTGAGGACTCTAACGCTGAGCACGTACACTACAAATGAAACGTATAAAAGCCAGACTGTTTAGAATTCTGACATTAGTTTGAACACAGTAGTCAAAGCACCTCATAACCCCACTTGAATAGAAATCTGTTGGAACACTTTTGATATAAACGAATCCTCTAAAAGAATTTAACTTGGGGTTCGAACAAAAGTAGCAAGCCTCAGAAATATTTTTTCAAAAAATTTTTAAATCCATGCAAAATTGAATTATGATGACAGCACTTCTCTAAGCGTAACCATGACATTACCATGGAGATTAACAAAGTCAGCAAAGGTTGGAAAATGTAAATACAGTGTGGGGACTGCCTGCCCAATCTTTTGACAATATTCAAACATCAGAAGCAAATTTAAACCTTAGAACTGGAATCACCACTTTACTATTTCTTCATGTAGAATGCAGTAAGCTGTTTCACTACTCCTGGAGTATCCAGGGAATTAAAATGATTCAGAGAATGACAGTCTAATCCCTTGTGTTGCTCTTGGTATGGAAGGGAAATACTCTTCACTAGGTGCTACCAGAACAGCTACGTTTCAAACTGAACTGGAGGGACAAATTTTGCAGACTTCCTTCAGCTCTAGACCGTTAACACTGAGTATTTACCATGGGGAGCAATGTGTCCCTTGTTCTCCCTTCTGTTCTTCTCACTGTTGTATAAGGCAGAGTGATTCAGCTCCTGAGAACTGACTACTGTGCAGGAGTAGTATTTTGGGATATTTTTTTTTAATACAGCAGATGTACTGTCATCATCTTTATAAAGCCCACAATATTTATTCTGTCTTGTTTGTGCAAGAAGAATGTCACCTGATATAAGTCCTTTAATCTGCAAGTGCTATTAGGCTCTAATTCACAACATTATCCACTAAGTGTATCGGTTAGTAGTAAGGGAAGACCTTCTTAGGGAAAAGAACATAGGTTTGTACTGCTGGATAGAGAAGATACAATTTTGGTAAACTCATGATGGGAAATCTTATTTATATATTGTATATACTGCCATACATATCATAATCAGAAAACATAAACATGAGTAACCTTACATTCATATCTATGTATATCTGCAATATGTATACATTAAAGAGAATGCATTTTTAAAAAAAAATCAGTGCTAGATCTTTACAGGAGGGTTTCCATAAAAACCAAAACCAACTAATCTGTGAGCTGTGTAGTTTGTCTTCTACTAACGCACCTAGTGATTCCAAAATATCCTTTATATCCGTTATCAGGCAATCTAGCTTGTAATTTTCTTTGTTGGAAGGAGCATCCGTTTCTCCGTAACCTCTCAAATCCAGGGCCACCACTCGATATTCACTTTTAAATTCCCGCAACTGATGGCGCCAAGAATACCTAACAGAGGGGAAAAAAAGTTGAAGTTATAATGTAAAGTGCTTCTGCTCCCAAGCAGCTGAGGGGAAATAAGCACGGCTTTGTGTGCAATGAGGTTCTTTTTTCTTTCTGTGGTACACTGAGGATCCTCTGCAGCTATAGTAGTTTTGTGCTTCCTTCTTGAACTCCCAGTAAGGAGGCGCAGCAGCCAGAAAGGGGCCACGGCTATAGCCCAGGTGCTTTAATTCCTGGTGTCTGGCATGGTCTCTTTGCTGCAAAGGAAGCTGGCATAAACCAGAGCACACCAAGGGCTATTCTGTTTATTCCTTAGAGCTGTAGTACCATCAAAAAGTAAGGTCTGAGAAGCTTTCTCTTCTGCCTGGCTTACTCACGCACATCTCAATGGAGTGGAAAACATGCCTCAAGGCATAGTGGTGTGTTTTGTTTTGCTTTCCGAAAAATTTATGTCAGATAACTCATACACTAAATAAAGAAAGAAATACAATGAATAACAAACGAACTTGGTGAAGTTCATATGATTTACATTATGTACACTTTCATCTGTGTCTTTATACTACTAGAACTGTTCCATAACAATCTCTTAATGTGGTGGTACTACACAATTATGTCGTTCCTTGTGTTTCTACGGAAAAGACTGATAAAATTGCACACGTTAAAAGATATACACACAAAATTAAGAACTCAGACAAAGGCCTGGGCTATTCCTCATTCTCTAGTAGTATGTAGTGACTAGATGTGTGTTATGAAGGAAAAGTAACAAGAAAATGGCAGGTCTCACTCATCCTGCAAGAACTACCTGCCTTTCAGCTGTTACTGAAACAAAATAGATTTCAGAATAGCCAAAACAGACATAGCCTTATCTTTTACTCTAATACAAAGGTATACAAAACCCATGATCCTTCTACGCATATATGATAATGGCTGCATTCCTTTGTGCTAGGATCTACCTTTACTTCTGCTCTTGTTTCAACAGAATATGATACGTAACATTTGGATTATCAGCAATCATAAGAGTGATGCACAGAATTCTACCTTAATTCACACAGTGTCTATATCAGACCATTGGCTCTTCCACTTCAGCTTTGCCTCCAGCCTATCAGGGACTTTGGACATAAGTAGTATTACAGTAAAAATCATTAATTATAGATATTTGTATTCATATAAATAGAACAGTCAGAACCTTTTCATTTCAGTGCCATATAATGCAAACCCAAGATTTAGCTGAGATCTCTGGGAACGAAATTTTTAAAGGCATTATACAATGCCATGGAAGCTGAATTTGCCATGGTAACTGTTGTAGCTATCCTATATACTTCAGTGAGAAGAAATGAGGCCCATAAATAAATAAATAAACTATTTTTGTTTTCAGAAAAGATCTACTTGCCGTCCTCATCTTCTGTTTTCACAGCAGTCCATCAATCGCCAAATGTCTGACCTACCAAATGGGTAGGTTTTATATTCAAATAAATCCTTTTACCACATATGAAACGTAACTGCTAGACAACTGCTTTGCAAGCATAATTTGGAAATGCTGGAGAATGCTTTCCTGTTCGTAAGACTGAATTATGGAAACTATTTTCTGACTTTCTAATCACATTATTTCTGAAAGGCCGCTTCTACAAAATTTAGCGGGTCACACACAAGTCTTATATCATATCATAGAATGGCCTAAGCTGGAAGGGACCTCAGAGATCATTTTAATCCAGCCTCCCTGCTGTCAGGGACACCACCTCTCGACTAGATCAGGCAACACATGGAGACCGAACGGGAATCGAACCCCTGACCTTAGCGTTGTTAGCGCTACGCTCTACTGACTGAGCTATATATGTACTCAGCTGTCTCAACACATGCCCAATTTGAACTACTTTGTCTGTCCACAACATTGGTATTGTTTTTCAAGTTCTTGTGCATCTAAAGCACTTAATGGCTGTGGTGCATTGTATTCTTAAGTCATCTTTCATCTTCATTCGCAATCGCTCACTAAGGTCAGTATTGTCTGGTTATAGTTGTCCTACTTATAACCTTGAGATATCTGAAGGCAGAGGATTTGTTACAGTTAAGAACCGTAACTGTGAATCATACCTGTTTTGGTTTTTGTGTTTTTTTTTTTTTGCTAGCCAAATGATAACAAATTTGATCTTGCTTTAAATATCTGTTAGATTGTGTTTATTTTATCTTGTGCTCTCTATTCTTGCATAAAAATTCTTCACTGATTGAATTAACAAACCAACATCAGTATTGGTAGCGTGACTATTTTATAGACTACTGGGATGAAATCTTCTTTTTAAAAACAGTTACATAAACTAAGCTATTGGTGGTCCCAGTAACCTATATAACAGTTTCTTATTCCTTTTCAGTGGTCAGATAATATAATACATTAACTGTCACTTAAAGTGTGACTCACCATTCTAAACTGTAAGAAAGGCTTTATGCTTTTTGAAAGTAATAGACTGGATCTCAGTAGAATACGTATATAAAATGCTACATCTTCTGTTATTATGCCCACTGTAGGGGAAATCAGCTGTAGTATCAGCTGTCTTACTGTGCTAGAATATGTGCCTGCACAGAATATGCATGGCCCCCCACCTAACAGTCTTTTGAATCAAAGAGTCCAGTTTTAATCTTTTATACAGCAATTTATTATTAGAACAATCATCTACTCTGAAAATTTATCTTAAAATAAATCTGACTTTCCACCTTCATCCTCAAGGCCATTAGTATCTATAGGAAATTGCTAAGGGAAGAGAACTGACCTCTGTTTTACCTAGGTCAATTTGTCATGGTATGACCTGAGTCCAGCCTGAAAGATCACAGTTCCAGCAGTGCACCCTAGCTCCATATCTGAGTTTGGAAAGGAAAAGGATCATTTAACTTGCTGAATTACTGGCATTACGACTTCCTCTATTCCCTTATTGTTTTTCCAGTGCAAGTTCTGTAAGCTGTGCTTAACATTGCAGTTAAACCTGGCAATGACAGCAATTTGGTTAAATCATTGGACACATGACTGCTTTTCATTGTTATAAACAAACATTTAGGACTGGGGTTGATTCATCATCTTGTGATGAACTAATAATAGAACCTTTTTCCCTGAGTCGCATTCTGAAATTAGGCTGCAGAATAGCCTATAGAACTCATAGTTCTTTTCCTCTCACAGCTAAAAATTAATGTATAGTATTTTTAATAAATGCCGTGACCCATATTACACCTAACATATAATGCATCCTTACTTTAACATCCTCTGGTGTAATTCCTAAGTTTAGTCATATAGTACAAATGTTATCCAAACAGGAAATTCATTAAAAATTAGCCGTTCCTCCCCAAAGTTTGGAGAAAAGTGTATGTACTCGGGGGGAAATGGATTGACAATACAGAAAAGATGGCTAGTTTGCATCAGCCTGCAGGGATTTTTTGTGGATGCTGCAGCTAAGCATTTCAATGGTTTGTTTCCTACAAAACTTCATGGTATTAGTTAGTATTCATAGATAGGTAAAATGGATCACACTGGGTTTACCGATGGTCACTCTCAAGTATCTTCAGCCATCTCTTTTATACAAGAATAGGGAGTTTTACCAGAATTCTGGAAAGCCGTGAAGCAGCAGCATGAGTGGTTTGCCCCTTTCTCCAGCAGCCACATAGTGGAATCTTAGCCCTGAATCCTAGAACAAACCAAAACAAAAAAAAAGTGTGTTTTTACTGCTGCATGGAACAGTCTACTGAGATTTGAGAAGGAGTATGGGTTCAGACAATATTCTAAAAACCAATAGATTGTCCCTGAAAAAAAAAGAAATCAACAGCTTTTGAAGACCAAGTCTTCTGCGATTCTGTGACCAGGTACATGCTGTACCCTGGCAATGCTAAGTATCCCACCCCCTGCCTGCCACAGCTTCTTCCAGGGGGGAACATTTTAATATATGCCAGGTGAAGGGGACTCCAGGCCAGTTCATCCCTGAGCATGCTGATGTTTCTGAAAGATTGGCACAGTGACTAGGAAATGCAGATGACTGTCGAAGCTAGCACCTTACTTTCACATGGACACCAGACATGTTCTTTATGGAAAGACTTTGAGACACTACACTTTAAATGCACTTTTAATCTTTCAGTCAATTTGTAAGATGAACTTTTTAAAATCATCACATTCTGCTGTGGCAATGTAAAGGACTGCATGGATTCTTAAAAAACAAAAGAAATCAAAATCAAGTAACTAAAAAGCAAGGGGGTTTTGCTCATATTTACTGTTCAATGTTTCACTCGCTTCAGAAAAGAAGGCTATAACATTAAGGCTTTCTTTCTGCCACATCTATAGTCACTATTTCTGATGCACCTTTTAAGAAAATGATAATTACCAGCAGACAAGTTGCTGTTAGCAGTGCACAGGCTGAACACTGAAATGCTACTGAAATGAATGGATGTACACAAGCTAATACTAACTCAATGTCAAATCCAGCAGAATTTAAGTAAGCTGAAATTGTGACCTAGAGGGTTTACTGAATTCTGGCGCAGAAGTGGATTCAGAAGTTGGGAAGGAGTTAGCTCACAAAACACAACATGCTGTCTAAAAGTCACATGAAGGAAACTGCAGGAAGAAAGGTTGTACAACTCCTGAACAAATGTCAGAGCTTCCACCGTCTCGGCTTCTCTAAAAAGGGAAGCAAAACCCCTAGGCTTTGGATGTACATCAAGAGCTTATATGAGGCCAAGGATCACAAATGCATACGTAAAGTTTTTCTTGCCAGAAATACTTCTAATTCTCTGAGCTACCTTAGCATTGCTAAGTCACCAACTAGCTAGAAACTTACGTCTTAATTCTTGAAAGGGCTCTGGAGAGGGAACATCAAATACTATGGATATAATAGGGACTTTTGCTCAATTCTGCCAAAAACTACACCGATACTTCTCCCCTGGGATGCCAATGAGGTTGAAGTCCCAAGGGGTAGAAGTAAATTCCTAGTAAGTTTTAGGGCCATTAGATCACCTTCATCATTCTTCATATCACTCTGCCTTTAATCCCTTTATATTTAAAAAAACAAAAGTACAAGCTTCTCAGTTTCCTTCCACAGTTCCTCTTCTCAATTTAGTGATCTCTCCTCCACTCTGCTTCTTTCAGTTAGTGTCTTCCAGGGATTTATCCTCAGTGGTTTTATTTTAATCTATTTATGCTTTTAAGGATATCCCCTTGTACTCAATCACCACCTGTACAGCAGCAGTTTAAATGTCACATGCCCTAAACTAAGCTCATCCTCAGCCTTTTTGGTTGCTCATTCTCCCCTTTTCTCTAACCCCCAAAAGAGACATAGGGTATCGCCATCTTTTCTGCAACAGACTTTTTTCTTTGTTTTGTTGAAACCCGCACAGATCCAAAGGCATGCATGCCTATGGGGAGTAACACATCAGCCTGCTGTTAGCCAGCGGCAAGAGTACCACAGTGACAACAATTCGATTTGCCCGCAAATGCTCTTTTATTACTGTCGCTTCCTCAGCAACACATTCATTCACTGCTTGATGCTATAGGATAAAAGAATGCATGTGCCTCCTAAGGATGACAGAAAAAGTAAAGCAGCATATCGTGAGAAACCAAGAGGCTCAATAATTTATGTTTGGACTGCCTGCCACAAAACCATCTGCACGGTTCCCCGAGAACAGATCTTAGTGCTTATCGCATTAGAAATAATGTGTGACAACATGTGCCATGCATTCTTTGCTCACCTGTGACTGCGCGAGAAGCCCAGCTCATACAGCCTTTCAGAGCGCTGGGCGGGCGAGCAAATCGCCGAGACCCGAGACAAGTACAGGAACGGGCCGGTGGCTTTACCCGTGCAACCTGAGGGGCAGCGCTTGTCGTTCTGCGTT